TCCCCACTCTCGCCCTCTCGGCAATGTCAACGTACCCACCATCGCACGACCTGTTCTTGAGGTTAAAGGCAAATGTACCAAGGACGGCAACAAGGCCGGCACCCCAGAAGAAGATGGTGCCCAGAATGAGGGCGTGGAACTGTGGCTTCATTCCTCCTCCTCAGCAGCGAGCAGTGTGACCGACTGAACGTTGAACGTAGCGTTCAGTGGACAGGCTGTGAGCCAGAGGTCAACTAGCTCAGCCTTTGGATCACTATCTTCATGGTGCTATGTAGTGGTCAGTACAGTGTTTTTCGAGACATAAGACTGCAGGTGGTGCAGTCTACGGATGGAGCAGATCTAGCGAGCAGAGCATGTCGGCCATGGCACGGGCATACGCCTCGTGGTCGCGGTAGTAGACGCAGTTGTTGGCGCAAAGGTCGGGGTGCGAGGCCCAGAACGGGACGTCGCACATGCAGAGGCGCGGGAGAGCAAGGCCCTTCGACTCAACCTTTTCGATGATCTTGGCACGGAGCGCCTCGACAAAGCGCATCATTTCGGTCTCCTTGCGCTTGGCGCGGCGCTCGAGCTCGCGGTCACGCTTAGCGCGCGCCTGGGCGGCACGGTCTTGTGCGGCGCGGTTGGCCTCGGCCTCGCATGCTGCGCGCTGCGTCGAGATGGAGATGGCTGCTTCACGCGAGGCGCGGACCTGCTCCTTCTGCTTGATGATGGCGTCGATGCGGCGCGACTCGCGCTGGGCGTGCTTGATACGGCGGATCTTTTCGCGCTCCATGTCCATCATAAACTTGCGCCTCTGCGCAAAGGCCTTGGCCTCTGCGCGACGATGCTTCATCTCGTGGTACGACTCGGGCTTGACAAGCGAGAGGTCAAAGGCTTCGACCGACTCGTCGACGTCAAAGGTGAGCGAGGCCTGGTCGTTGTCCTGCGGCGGGTGACCGGCAGCGCCATGCTGCGAGGACTCAACTGGCGCGGCGCCGTCAGCCTCAGCCTCGGCCCACACGGGCGAGCCACGGCGCGGGATCGGCTTGCGGACTGGGAACCGGCGGGTCGGCGGGCGGGAGTCGATCTCGCGCGGCGAGTCAAGCCCGTTGTGGGCGCCGATGTGCCGGAACGACGGCGCAACAAGCGCTGGGCCGTCGCCGGGCACCAGGTCGCCGAGATCAAACCGCTCAGGCTCGGACGGCTCGGTGCCGTGGTCGCCCTGGCTCTGCGCGCCGTCGCCGTCGTCTTCGTGCGGCCGTTGGCTGGCGAGGGCGGCCATGGCCATGCGGGCACGCGAGGCGGCAAAGTTCATCTTCTCAATCTCTTCCTCCAGTGGCGACGAGACGGCAGCAGCCATAACGCCAGCCACATGGTCGCGAGGCTCGCCGTTGACTATCGGGAGCGAGAGCGTGTGCCGCGCCGGAAAGGCTGGCGTGCGGGTGAACAGCGGCGCCATCTCGGGCACGTTGCGGTAGACCGAGATGGCAGCCTTGGAGAGCATCGAGATGGTCTGTTCGGCCTCCTCACGCGCCGCCGCCGCCGCTTCGCGCTTGGCTGCCACCGAGAGAGCATCAACTCGCGCGGCAACCTTGGCTCGGAACGCTTCCAGCTGGGCCTCCTTGGCGGCCCGCTCTTCGGCCGCCGCCGCCGCCGCCACCACCGCC